TTTTTTATACAAAAGGTTTTAATTAATTAACCTATCTCATTAAAAAAAAAACTTAATATTGATAATTGATGCAAATATATTACCTAAAAAAATAGTTTTTTGGTAAAAAAAAAAAAAGTTTAATAATGACCCTTGACTCTTGAAGCGCGCCAGCGGGCAAATAACGATTGCAAGGCCAAAACATGCATTTCGCGGATATAATAACTTAAACAAAAACAGAGTCCCATGTCATTCCCACCCCTGGCGCCCACTTCTCCATTTTCTCTACAAACCAAAAACATTATTTCAATGTTAATGTAAGAAAAAGAAAAAGAAAAAGAAAAAAAAACACCATTAAAACTTCATATATATGTTTCCTTTAGATGTTCGGTCATGGATTATTTATTTATTTATTTAAAGACCGAAGGTGTTGTCAATTTAGATTACCAAAATATTAACATCAATCTCTCTCAAATAATTTTCAAGTTTGAATTCCAATCAATATCACAGATATTGACTTAGTACATTAATTTAGATTAGGGTGGTGCTATTGAGACAATTTTTTTGTCTCCCTTTTTTGTATAATTTTTACATTTCATTAAATGAGTGAATGTATTCAATATCATAGATGTTATATGAATTAAAAGAACCAATTATTTTAATAACATGTCATGTTGTACAAAAATATGAAATAAAATGATTATCCTAATAGCATTTCCTTTTAGATTACTAAAATATTAACATCAATCTCTCTCAAATAATTTTAAAGTTTGAACTCCAATCCACACCATAGATATTAACTTGGTGCATTAATTTCTTAAGTCATGTTTTAAACAACACAAAAAAATAAATAAATAAATTCTACTAAACAAGATATAAATTGTAATCTTAATTTAAAAGTCGTCTCTTTTTTGTATATTAAATTATATGATAAAAAGTAATTTTTTCTTATATGAGACTTTTAATAACCATTATTGATAATCCGATGGAATTGATTTGATACATATGGGAAGTTGAATTTCGTGTTCTTCAAAAGATACATCTGTAAATGTACCAAAAAATTAAAAAAGATACACATATAGGTAAAGCGCTATAAACATGACATGATTGAAAACCCTCATGCAATGTACCGTCTGTCAAGTGTTTTTTCTTCCTCGTTGGTTTGATTAAAAGAATATTATTTTATAATCTATTTTGTGCAAACGAACTTCAGTTATTTTTGTTAATTTATTATAATTTGTGAGCATAAAACATGAAATGACCATTTTGTCTTCCTCCTGTTTCCTACTCACCCTAAAAACTTAAATCCCTAACTTGAAAGTTTACAACTAGATCATTGTACAATACTTGATATGAGTTCTAAATAATTTTTTCCGTAGTAAGAGCATCAAAATCTATAAAGTCGTGTGGTGAATACACAACTGACTTATTCTTTTGCCTAATTTATTTGTACAAGATTTTTTGTTGGATTAAAGGAAAATCAAATCTGCAATTTTTAGTTTTGGTGATTGGTGTCAATTTTTAAATTTTTGTGCTGATGGTATTTGTCTTTCTATTTCTTTTACAAAGGTAAGTATCTCTTGTACTTCTTTAATAAAATTTTGATTTATCAAAAAAATCTATAAAGTTGTGTGGTGACTACACAGCTAACCTATTCTTTTGCATTTTTTCTAAAAAGCATCAAACTCTTCACAAGGAATATTCACATGTGCATGGGCCAAAGGTCTTAGAAGAATTGGCAAAAAGAAAAAGTAGGAGAGGGGAAAAGAGGGCGACGTTAATTATTTTCCCTTTAGTTAGCAATGGAGTAGCTAGAGTAGACAAGTTGGTGAGTGAGACCCGAATAACAAAGCAAATACTTACTTTGCCCTTTTTAACCATATGAAAATCCCACCTTACCCACAAAATTGCCTTAGCTATCCCTACTTAAGATTGCGAAGTTATAAAGAATTCATTGTCGGCAGGACCTACCATGACTAAAACCTTGTTAAAAGTTGAAAACAAATTGAGTTTACACCAGGTAAATTACACATTTTTTTCAAAGTAATAGGCTAATAGCTACCCATGAACCTCAACAAAATAAGATACGATCGATATAGTCATTGTTATTATTACGTAGGGTAATTGACTAATTGGCTTTAGATGATTTGTCTTCACGTACTAACAAATAAAAACGATGCTTGAAAGTTGTAATGCTGTTGTCATGCACGAAGAAAGGACGAGGAATCTTGCATCCGTATTCATTGATGTTGCGTGTGTTTTTACCAAGAAAATTCAGGTAAAAACCTATATTTGACCTTTTATTTTATTATATTTATAGGCTTTAATTCTTTATTTTATATTATGACACTTTAACCCCTCACTTATTAGAATTAAAGAGAATAGCCTTCACTTTATAATATTTCGTTAGTTCTGTCAACTGACTGTTAATTTTGTTAGTTTAAAAGTAGATTTTTACTAGTTAATAATCGGTTAATAAAGTTGACAATTAGTTAATAAAACTATTTTATTAGTTGACAGTTAACTCTATTAATCGAAAATAGTTTTTTGCCAATTAACAGTCAGTTAATAGTCAACTAATAGAGTTAATAGTCAATTAATAAAACTAATAAAATGTTATAAGTGAGGGTTATTTTTTTAATTTTAATAAGTAAGGGGTTAAAAGTGTTACAATATAAGGTGAGGGGTTAAAATTTATAAATTTAATAAGATAAAGGACTAAAAATAAGATTTTACCGAAAATCCATTGATTTGGTTGGTGCGTGATTATCACTAGCTTGACAGACATTTGTTACTATCACATAATTTAATTGTGTGTGTTTTTTTCTCTATTTATAATTTTTTTATTAAATAATTAATTAGGATATATAAAAATATTTATTTATAAATTAATTTTAATTTATTAAATAATTAATATAAACCATTTTACGTAATTCAAACGAATGATCATGAAGCCCTGGTTACAGTCGTTCGGTTGGGTCACCTATTAACTAATTAATTAACAAATATTATGTATATTTATCTTTCTGCCAAGTTCTTGGTCAAATTGAAGAGACAAGTTGCTGCTGTTAGCGTCAATGCGTGTTAAGAAAAAATGATTTTTTGTCGTATTGGCTTAATTTTTAAGGACGGTTCATATTTCTTCCTAATTATATATGTATAGTGTTTATCTTATAGTCAATTACCCACGGTTCATTTTCAAGCAAATGTTCAACTACAATGTTCAATATTAATCGTTAATTATTCTTTCATAAAAAACATTAACAGAAAATTAGGAGTCGTTTTTTATGTAGATTATAAAATTAGTATAAGGATTCATTACTTATACTCAACATATATAAATTAATCAAAAAAAAATGTGTAGAAAATCTAGATACATATACAAAAATTGAACCCACGGACAACTTTCTTAACTTCTAAATCCTTAATTATCATCTAGTTGGGATAAAAATTTAAGCTTTGTTTGGGTTGTACATAACATTTTTTTCTATAATACGTTATCTAAAGATGTAAATTTATTATAAATATTTTAGTAATAATGTTGTATATAATTTTAGTAATATTAATTAATATTTTATATATTTTTATAATAATTAAAAAAAAAAAAAAAACTATGGCCACAATATATACTCTCAAATTAAGCATTAATTGATGTTCTTAGTATAATAACTCAATAAGAATAACAAATTTTTTTGCCTCAAATCCATAAAAGTATAAAATCTCAATTTTAAAACGATGACAATCAAAATAAACATGTTTTGACGGGAAAAATTAAAAAAACATGTTTTGTGTAATAATTAATCTTCATTTTTCTAAAAGAAAATAAGAAAACGAGAATGATTTATCTTTCCTCTTATCTTCATTTCCACCGAAGTCATAGGATTCGTTTTTGTTTGTTGAAATATGGAAATTATGATCACATGCCCAGAAAAAAATGCAATTACTTGTGTCCCGGTTAACTCCAAAATGTCGATCTGGAAGACAAACAATGACAAAATATACATAGAAAGTGGTGGGTAAGCCATCATCGTCAATCCTGCTCCTTTCACCCAATCAGATACATCTCCCACCGTTCGATCTCCACGTCCCGCCAAACCCCACCACCCTACATCACATGTGCGTATCAGTTCCCAGGTGACCTTCAGATATCAGTTTGTCTCCCCATTTACTATATTTTTTCAATAAAAAATAATTGATGTATGGTCAATTTAACATATTTTTTTATATTTGTTTGGTTTAATTATTAAAATATAATATAAATACAATAATTCAATTGATTCTTATATTTTGTATATATAAGTGTATTTTTAAGTTTATTTATCTTTATTTTTATATTAAAAAAATAATTTTATTAATAAATATATTGTGTAGTGTGTTGAATCAAAATATATATGAATTATTGTGTTAAAAAATAAAAGAACCAATATTAATTTTTGTTCTTAGGTCCTAACATTGTATTTATGTTTCAAATTAGTCCTCAACAATTATTTTTTATCAAAATGAATCTTTGAGCTTAGTTTTGTGAATTGATTGATAAAGTCATTGCTTTGTTATAGCTCTGTTGTAATTGATGGCTAAAATGGCATAGATAATAGGTAGTTTGTCGTGCTTTTATGGTGAAGGGATGTCTAACAAAAGGTGTTTCTATCTTTCATTTAATTTATTTGACAAAGTTTTTCAAATAATTAACTACTCTAACCATAAAACATAAGATAAAAAATAGAATTATTCATGAGTTATTTAAATATAGTTTTGCTTGTTCATTTATCCAGTTATGAATTGAGTTTAATTATATAAACAAGTTAAATTTGAGTTGGTCTTTGGTTTGGCATGGAAGTAAAAAATTTACATAAATATTAAGTAATTTAGATAAAAAAAAAAAGGTGTTTTTTTAGCATAGATTACACTTTTTTTGTGTAATTTAAGTATTTAAATTACAAAAATATCATCAAAAAAATAAACACAAAGAACAATTTTATTAAGAATATTTAGGTAATTTTATACATAAATTATAACCAAAAAGTATAGTTGATATTGAAAAATATTTTTTTGATTTATATATATCTTTCTTAATATTTTAAAGAATTCTACATATGATGATAAACTTGGGGTGGTTGGGAGGGTGGGCTCTTCTTACCGCCCCTATCTAGGCAACATAGGTTAGATGTTGTCACTTGTATGGTAACATTATTTATAAAGCATTTAATAGGGTTAGGACTTGTAAACCAAGGAGTTTAAGGACTGTAATAAGAAAAAGAAAATATCAGGGACTAAAATGAAATGGACCTAAAAGGAGCAGGGATAAAGCCAACGAACCGGGTAACTACAAGATAGACCAGTGGGATAACCGGTCCGAATATTTGATGGCCAAAGAATTCACGCATCCCGATGCCAGAAATTCCTTTCCCTCGATCATTAATTTATCTTCCGAACGTTCCTAAATTCTCCCAAAATTTAATTGGGGAGTTTTTTTTTTTTAAAGGTTTTTTAAGCGCATATATATATAGTAAAATATAATAAATATATTTTAATTATTTTT